ATAAATATGAAGATGAAAGAAGAGAATTTTCTTTGTGTCTTTTAGTTTCAGATTCTAAGAAAATCTGGTTGAGTCGTCATAATAATCCTAACAAAGATTACTATGATTATTATCAGGCAACAGGTAGTACAAAAGAAAAAAATAAAACTTTTGAACAATATGCTTGTAGAGAAGCTAAGGAAGAAACAAATATTGAATTAAATGAACTTGAATTTATTATTTTTCAAGAAGGATTTAGAGAATTTCCAGATGGAAAAACATGTTTGTATAAGATAGCGATTTATTATTCTATTATTGGTGATAAGAATTCTCAACAAACAGAATCAGAAAAAAATAATGAATGGCAACAATTTGAATTAAAAGATTTATAAAATCTTAAAGTAACTGATTCTATTAAAACAAATTACAGACAAATTTCTAAGATTATTAACAAAAAATTTAAAAACAAAAAGAGACGTAAAATTGAGGTTGAAAGTCCAAAAATTGAAGATATAGAAAGTCCATTGCAGTGAAAATTTAAAGAACCAATAGTTTATTTTTTTTTATTTCTTTTTATTTTTATTGATTTTGTAATTTATTAAATAAATTCTAACTAGTTTTTTGACCAGTTAGATTTTTAATTATACAATTTCGAAATGAAATTGATAGATTTATTGAAAAAATGAAGAATATAATGAATACAAGAAAGTTGAATATCAATGAATTACCAAACGAAATTCTAATTTTGATTTTTTATCATATTTTTCAAACAAAGATAACATTGTTTGAATTATCAACTACTTTATCGATAAAATTAGTTTGTAGAAAATGGTATGATTGTTATTTTTCGTTGTTCAAGATTCATAGAACCAAATATATTTTAACACCTAACACACATACTTTTGAGGATTATACTCCTATCAAAAAATCAGAATATTATTTTAAAATTAATGATGGGAGTTAGTTATAGAAACTAACAATTCAATACAAACAAGGCTGCAAACTTATGAAGAATATGAGCTTTCTAAAAAAGAATGTAAACGATGTTTAGAAAAAAAAAATCCTTTTAAATATAGCATATGGTTTAAAGATAAAGTTTATGATTGTGAAGTATTAGAATGTAAAAGAAGAAATCAAAGTCATCATTGTCACGAGATTTGCAAGAAATGTTATGAAATTTATTCTTTAAGTTTTGATGATGTGGTGTTTTTTGCTAGTCTTTTTAATTAAAGTTTAAGTCTAATCAGTTATTTAACCGATTAGAATTTTATTGATGTAATCTAAAAAAAGATTTATACATAATTTAAATGGAAGACAATTTTTTTCTTGATAATTCTATATGGGAATGTTTTCTTCAAAAACTAATTGAAAAGACTGATGATTTTAAATATTTTGTTCAAAAAATAGCTGGAGTATCAGCTAATGAAGTTAAAGTATATCAAGGCAATAATCGTACTGATATTATTGTGAAATATATCGATTCAAAACAGGAAAAACATTTTATTTATCTTATTTATGATAATGTAGAAATAAGTGTTAAATTTGGATTCCTTCTTAGAAAAGCTTTTCGTCATTATTGCTAAAAGAAAAATTACATTTTTTGATAGTATTTTTATTTAGTTTTATTCTAGCTAGTCTATTTGACCGGTTAGATTTTTAATTACATAATTTTGAAATGACTGATAAAAAGGTGAGTTATATTCACTTAA